GCTTGGGCAGTCTATCCAGAGACCATATTGTTTGGCTTCAAAGCAGCCCTGGTGAATCTCAGTTGCCAGGTGCCACTTCAGGCTCACAGAGCAGCTTTGAGACCCTTGTAGATGTGTTTTAGTGGATAATAATGTTTGTGCCTTTCCCCTTTTATCTGTATTGCAGGATGTGACCTGAAACAGGGAGGGCAACCACAGAGGTTTCATCCTAAAAGACAGACCCGAAACCAAGCCTGTGTGCTGGGAGTTGTTCCTTAGGTTTTTATCTACCTCTTTCTCCCATATTGCAAAACCCTGGTGTCTGCTCCTACTCTGATAGTGCTGAGGTTTCTCCTGAGAAGCACCAATATGGAAGCACACAGCCCTTCTCATTTTATATAGCCTGATATGTTGTACTTGGCACGTGGATTGTTAAGGGAGAATTTCATAATAATCTGCATGGTCTATGTACCAAGAAGGGATAGAAATTGTTTCAGCTAGTGAAAGAAGTGCAACGAGGAAAAACTAGAAACAGCTGAATATCAGGAAATGCATCATGACAGTAACATCCCTTGGAATGCAGAGTAATGTCCCTTTGAAAGTGGTGGGATCACCACTGCTCCAGACATTTGAAGCCAATGAGACAGAACCTAACTTGATCCACAGCATCCTTGGCTTCCAGGGAGGCTGTATCTGTATGATCCACTAGACTTTTTTCTATTTCTAACTTCTGCAACTCTGTCTTTCTGTCTCTCCTTGGGTGATGAAATATCATTATAACCTTTTGAAATAATATATTGGTGCCTGGGGAGCAGAGCCTGATTTTCCCATTTGCAAGTGAGAGGCAGTGTGTTAAATTACCATTTCTGTCATTAAATGGATGCAGTAAAAAATATGATGTCTTTAAAAGAGGACATTTTCCTGCTGCCCAAACAAACCACCTAAGACTTCACGTTGTGGGAGATGAGGGTTAGAAGTTTAAATAACGTTCATCTTATTCCTGAGGCTTAGGTTAGTGGAAGCTGCTTGACACCTGAAAAGCTACCAGCAAACCTGACAGGTAAACATCCTCTTGATTTACAGGATGAGGAAGCCTCTGCTGTGTCTGTCGTAGATCATGAAGGATGAAACTTCTGGGCCATCAGGGCTTCTACTTGTTAATTTGGTGTTGGGAAGTAGGTGAAAAAATCCACAGCACTGACAAATACAGGGACTGAGTACGTAGGTAATTGAACTCCAGACTTGCACTTCTGCATCTTCAGAGAATAAATGGGAAAGTTGTGGTGTTGCTTCAGCTGATGTTTTTTTTAATTGTATTGTTCTCAGTACCATTTATTTCTGCCTCTTCACTCAGTGCAAAAAATTGATAATCATCTGGTACTGCTGAGAGCTGTAGATGACAACATTGGAAACTCCAGACATGGTGATGAATTGCACTATCATATATTAATGTTATTTTGATCCCTGCTCTTTCAGATTTACATTGATCCAATTAGGTTAAGTAGCTTGCCATCTAAATTAATTTACTTTCCTCTATTTATCTCCTTTACTGTGGGTCAAAACCTGAAACGTAAATCAATCTGCTACATTGAATATCTTTGGGAGGTGGCAGAGTAATGAAATTACCTACTAGATACTTATGTTGAATTGTTTGGTATGTAAATAATTACTGCCAGAATTGGAAAGTGAAGTGGTGCACACTCAGTTGTGGAATTTGAGCCCTTGTTACACTCAGTTTTCATAACCTTTCCAGCAATGCCTCTACATGACTTGCTGTCCCTGGGCACTAATGCTGCCTGTTTATGTGGCAGCACAGCTTTTAAGATATGAGACACTTTGAAAGTGGGGATAACAACTTGTTTCTCTGCCAGAAATCATTGGACTTCCTGGCCACGTGTCTTGTAGAGGTCCCCAGCCTCTACAGTGCGGAGGAAACCTTCCCTCTGGCTTGCTCTCAAACCAGCACTAGTCCCGTATGTGGCAGGAAAACAGACTGCTCAGCAGTGATGTCTTTGTTACTCAACTGCAGGAGTGTTGGTGCAGAATCATCAAAAGTTTCTCATTTTCTTGAAAACGTCCTTCAGTGATTTGAAATCCTACTTTGGCTTCTACATTGGGGCACATTTTTTGTTTTATTAGGTTACTCCACTAGTGGGACATCACCTTGGTGCTCTTACCAGCCTTTTGCTGCTGACACTGGGAAGTCTTCTGTTCAACTGCTTTTTTAATCAGGACAGAGAGCAAACTTTTCCTCCTGATAGGGAGACTCATGATAGCTACACCAGGAATGTGTTTACCTGTTGTATTTCCTCATTTTTGTAAATACCACTGTCCTGGAAAGGCTCAAATCAAAATGGAGCCTTGATGTAAGGAAATGGGACTTGATGGTTGGAAACTGAATGTTGCCACAACCAAGGTAGATACATGGAGCTTAACTGTTGAAAACTTACCTGGCTTGTGATACCTTCTTCATCATGGGAGACCTAGACAAGGGCTCTGTAGAGAAAAAAAAATACATCTTGTTCCATCACAGTCATTGTACTAGAAGATTAATTCAAGTCAAATGATGGCTGGAACGCGACAGGTCAGGTTGCTGGTCACAGTGTTCCCTTCTGCTATTAAAATCTGCAGATCTATGAAATACTCTGTGCCTGAGGGTAGAGTGAACAGAAGTAGAAAGGTCACCTTTATCATCACTGCTGTCAAACAGCAGAGCACAAAGCAAGTGTATTGCCTGTACTTTGTCTCATTAAAGAAAAACCACTCAGGTATCCTGTATGAAGTTCCATTTCCAAGAAGTGCCCAGCAGAACTCCTTTGGCTTCCACAAGGATGGGATCTTACCTTTTGCTTTTGCAAAGGTACTTACTGCCTGCTAAGTGCAGAACTTAGCAGTGTTATCATATAAATTATAATTAAGAAAACAGCTGCTCTTTGTGAGAATAGGAAGCAGCATGCTTTGTTTCAGACAGGCCTTCCAAAGGGCTGTAGAGACAGGAGGTGAGATAAATGTTGGTGCCAGGGGCCCTCTGAGACCCCACAGGGAGTTAGAGATGTCCCTGTGGAGCTGGTTGGTGAAACATATAAATCAATGCTAGATGCTTGGTTGGGCAATCAAGTCCTGCTCAAGGGGTGGCTGAAATCCAGAGCAGTTCCTGCACAACTCACTAAATGCTGCAGTGCTTTAACATTTGGTATCTATTAAATGCTGATATTTCCCACAAACTGAAAAATATAAAGTGAGAAACTGTGCTTGAGTACTCATCGTGCTGGAGCTTTGCTATCTTCATCTTTTGACGTTGCCATTTCCTTCTCTTTTCTTGGTCTCTTTTCATTTATTTTATGATTTTTTCCTACCTTAAGATAGAGGCTTTTGAAGCTGAGTTTTCTCTACAATAACTGCTTGCACAGTTCCTAGCACTACCAGGTCCTCATCACAACTCAGACGTCAGATATGAATGTGATGCAAATAAATCAATAGTGAAAATTAAATGTTTGTTCATGTTCTAGCTTTAATGTTTATACAAAGTGCAGGAAATGTGTGCTGAGACTGTGTACTAGTTCACACTAGGATGTTTTTAATGGTTTTAAACTGGAAAAGGGGAGATTTAAGTTAAACTTCTTCACTGTGAGGGTGGTGAGAGCCTGGCCCAGGTTGCCAGGGAAGCTGTGGCTGCCCCATCCCTGGCAGTGTTGAAGGGCAGGTTGGATGGGGCTTGGAGCAGCCTGGGCTGGTGGGAGGTGTCCCTGCCCATGCAGGGGGGTTGGGACTGGGTGATCTTTAAGGTCCCTTCCAACCTAAACCAGTCTGTGAGTCTATGAAAATAAACATGATTCTTTGAATATATGAAAAAGAGCAACTTTAACCAGCTTTAAATAAATGAAAGGGCCTGGTCTGTGAGGGAGAAATCTGTCGATGAAGGGGAACAGAATATTGTGAAATGCTGTGCCAAAGATTTTCAATATTCCAAGCTCTCCAATTTTTGGTAGGTGCTGGTAGCATTTATCTTTGGTTTCTTCAGTATTGTGCTCTTGCATTTCACCAAAGCATTTGTCAAAACTCAAGCATGTTTGTGTTGCTGTATGTAGGTTAGCACCTCTGTTAGGAGTGAAACTGAGTATGAATTCTTCCTTCTGGCTTTCCTTCTAACCTTTCTGGTTAGAAATGCTCGTTAGATAAGGAATTGAAACAGACCAACAGCAAGACTTTTTTTATTATTTTTTTTAAAAAAAGGCAAAACAGATGCTGTTTTCCCTATTCCATAAGTTTACTACAAAGAAAAGTTTTCACAGCTGTCACACACAGGCTCCTCTCTGGAGATTTCCCTACTAATTGCGAGTCAAAATGTTTTGTGTCGTTGCTAAAGGCAGGAAGGGAAATGTGCAGAGAATGAGAACAAAATGTCTCATCATGGACACAGTCTTTTACTGTCTCCTGATACATCTTTTCACATTGTTATGTTTCCGTTTCCGAATATCCTTTTCAGATGATCAGAATCAATCCAGTGCTCCAACTTCTGTAATGTTCTTGTGTTTTTCCTTGGACATCAGTGGAAGAAGTTTGTTTCATTTACCAAAGGCTAAATTAGTCTTTGGGTGGTCACTTGCTGAGGAATACAACACATTATGCAGTAAAACACGGAACAGAGGGAAAACATTTTCCTGTTGCAAAAACCACCGTTACCGAACAATACTCCAAAGGTCTAGATTTCAGATTTAATGTTAAACGTGCTGAAAATTACATGGAAGCTTCAAGACTGAGATGTGCTGGCGCTCAGGCCTCATTTGGCAGAGAAAGCAGTCTGGAAACTTGTAGTCTTGTCTCAGGGAAGGAGGGAAACGTTCATGTCCTGCAGGGCTGGGATTTGAAGTTCTATTTTTCCTCCTTTCGCGCACAGCCCCAGCAGTCACCGCATCCCTCATGCCTGGCTTTGATTGCTAGCACAAGCAGAGCCACTAAAGGACAAAGTCAAGGTGATGTGGCCTTAATATAATGTCTGCTCTATTATTTTTTTCTTTCAGGGGCCTGTTAGCCAGGAGCTTCACAGAAACCCACTATTTGAAGGACGGCACCGATGTTGTCCTCGTGCGCAATTACACGGTAAGGTTGGTGCTGCCTGGGTGGGTGATGCTTCATCCTTCAAACCCAAAGTGCTCACTGCCAGGATCTGATTCATGTGGATGAAACGTGTGATCTTTCCTTAGTATTGCCTTCAGTACCTTTTTCACTGCTGTGATCCTACACGTGGTTTTTTAGAGAGATGATTTAAAGGCAACCTGTGGGATTTTAACCAGGTGACTTTTAAAATCTGTTGGGTTTATTTAGCTTCTTGGAAATATACCCCTTAACATTTTACAATAAATGCAACCACTGTTGATCAGTTATGGAGAAAAGTCCTGATAGGAACAAAGCCCTAACTATCTGATTTTCATGGTGCAGATGGTTTTGAAGGCTTGAGTGTCTTTCTGCATTGGGGAGGCCACAGTTGGGGTTTGAGAGACAAGGTTGGCTGTTTGAGTTTAATTTTTAAACCAGAGCATGAGATTGTTATGGATATACTTTTTAAAAAATTAATTTTTAAAAGTGTGTATATATATATATACACATACATATACTCACACATATAACTTACAGCAGCCAGTGCCTAAAGGGGCTATAGGAAAGCTAGAGAGGGACTTTTTACAAAGGATGGAATGAGAGGACAAGAGGGAAATGGTTTCAAACTGAAAGAGGGGAGATTTCTATGAGATTTGAGGAAGGAATTCTTTAGTGTGAGGGTGGTGAGACCTTGGCTCAGGTTGCCCAGAGAAGCTGTGGCTGCCCCATCCCTGGCAGTGTTGAAGGGCAGGTTGGATGGGGCTTGGAGCAACCTGGGCTGGTGGGAGGTGTCCCTGCCCATGCAGGGGGTTGGAACTGGGTGATCTTTAAGGTCCCTTCCAACTCAAACCAGTCTCAGATTCTGTGATTCTATGATGTATGTATGTATGTGTATATTTAAGTGTATATGTATATTTATAAATACATGGTTAACATGATCCTTGTTAAAATCTGTCGTTACATTACGTTACTTATTGATTGATGCTGTTAGAAGAGGCATCAGGCTTTGTGTTCCCATCCATAGTGGCTTGGCTGGTATCAGCTAAAGGCATTTTCTTTATGCGGAACATCTTATTTCTGAAAAAGCATCTTCATCATTGTCCCAGACCTCCCAAGGAGAGCAATCATTTTGAAAGCTTTTAGTGTTTTCTCTTTTTTGCTGGATATCTTCTTCAGAATCAGCTTAGTAGAAAATATTAATTTCTTTTAGAAATAGGAAGGCTGTATAGACCCCTAAAAGAAGGAAAAGGAGAGGAATAAAGCACATGATTTTTTGACAGATTATCCTACTTTAACATGAATATGGGTACAGCTAATGGTAGGTAGCCTGTCCTGTGCTGAGAAAAAATCTTGAGTTTCATGCTGGCAGTCAGTCATGACTAGTACTGACAATGAATTGTGCTGCCTGAAATGTTTTTTGAGACATCAGTGAATTCATTTTTTGTGGAATGCCTCAATATGGTTTAAACAAGATAAGTGTCTGTGATTTTGCTTTTATATCTCTTTTTCACTGAGGGCATCAATATAGAAAGGAATCCAGTTTCCCATTGAGAAGCTACTTAGTCAAACTGCTTGGAGACAGTGTTGGGACCACTTCTGATTAACATCTTAACCAATGATCTTGATGAGGAGATAGAATGCACCCTCAGTAAGTTTGGAGACAACTACAGGTTGGGAGGGAGTGTTGATCTGCCTGGGGGCAGGGAGGCTCTGCAGAGAGACTTGGTCAGACTAGACCCAGGGGCCAAGGTCAATTGTATGAAGTTCAACAAGGCCAAGTGTCGGGTCCTGCACTTGGGCCACAACAACCCCAGGCAACACTACCAGCTTGGGGAAGAGTGGCTGGAAAGCTGCCCAGCAGAGAGGGAGCTGGGGGTTCTGATTGATAGGTGGCTGAATATGAGCCAGCAGTGTGCCCAGGTGGCCAAGAAGGCAGATGGCATCCTGGCCTGTATTAGAAATAATGTGGCCAGCAAGACCAGAAAGGTGATCATCTATCTCTCTGTACTTGGCATTGGTGAGGCCACACCTGGAATACTGTGTCGAGTTTGGGGCAACCCACCATGAGAAGGATATTGAGGTGCTGGATCATGTCCAAAGAAGGGCAGCAAAGCTGGTGAAGGGCCTTGAGAACAAGTCTTATGAGAAGCAGCTGAGGGAACTGGGGCTGTTTAGTCTGAAGAAAAGGAGGCTGCCTGAAAGGGTGTTGTAGAGAGGTTGGTGCTGGTCTCTTCTCACAAGTAACTGGTGTTAGAACAAGAGGAAATGGCCTCAAGCTGCTCCAGGGGAGGTTTAGACTAGATACTAGGAAGAACTTCATCACTGAAAGGGTTTTCAGACATTGGAACAGGCTGCCCAGGGAGCTGGTTGAGTCACCATCCCTGGATGTGTTTAAAAGTCATCTAGATGTGGCACTTGGGGACATGGCTCAGTGCTGGACTTGAGAGAGTAGGGTTAATGGTTGGACTCTGTGATATTGAAGGTCTTTTCCAGCCTAAGTGATTCTGTAACTCTGTGAGATCTGACCAAGCCATGTTGGTGGACCTGTCAGTTGGGGAGTTCCTCTAGCACATGAGTCAGTGCTCAGGCTGTTCTTCTGGTCTATAGTACTTGAGAAATTTGCAGTTGGCAATAACTGGTATTTATTAAATAATCTAGAGTGAGGGCAGAATACTGGTTTAGGTATGACAAGTCAGCCATGGTAATTATTTTATTGTAGGGGGGTCATCCATTTTATGTACTAGTTTACAGGAATAAAAATATTTGATAGGAGGAAAAAAATAAACCTGCAGTTCAGGGGAGTTACTGAGCTAGAAATCAATTTTCTACCAGTCCAATTGCAGGCCATGGTCTGATAAGTTTACATTTTCAGTATTGAACTTTGGCATCACACAGCAGGCAGATCTCAGAGCAGTTGTGAAATGGGCCACAACCAGGAGCTCAGAGTTAATCAAGTGACAAGTTGCATGTGGAGAGGGAGAGAAATCAGAGCCTTGGCCATAATTCACTCTTTGATAAAGACAGCTGGGCTGGGGGGGATGAGGTATCAGCTCATGGAGGACTGTGCCTAACACTGATGAGGCTAAACCCCAAGAACTGACTTCTCAAGAGTTCTGAGCTGCACCTCTGCCTTCTACTTATTTGAAGTGACAAGAATAAACCAACTTTATTTTTGGTTTGGGGCTATTTCAGGGTCACTGCCTGAGAGTCACTGGTGAGGTGGGGGTGTTGGTTTTGCTGTTGTCTGAGCAGCAGGATGTGTGTGACTGATAACATTAAAATAAAGTGAAATAGTACACTCATGCTGAAAACTTTGGGATCCATAGCAATTGTAACTGAGGCAATCATCCCCAAAAATTCAGCCTATGACTTCCTCCTTTTTATTGTGGCTTTATCCTTGCTCATGTCTGACTCTTTATGGGTAGTGATGATAAAAATGCCCAAGAGTAAAAAGCTATTCCATGTTTCTGTCATTTCTTTCACTGAGAAAAGCTACTGAGATTTGTATTTAGAAGGTCACATGTTGCTGCTCCGGGTTCAGTTGCTCATGTTGGATAAATGCTCTAAGCAAATATTTTTCATGGTAAAACCTTATTTGCAGAAAATTAATATCTGGATTATTCCATCCTCCTTATTGCTTGGTTATTGCTTTCTTTAACAAAATCAAGGTGGTCTTTAGAAGTCTGCTATGTGAGATTTTGTGAGTGAAAACCATGCCCCAAACCTGAAAAGGTTAATTAATGCAGCTAGTTGGACGGGAATGAACCAAGTAATAAAAAGGCACAGTGAGATGACAGGTTGAAACATGAGTGATAACTTTCCTTTGCACTAATAAGATAGGAACCTTTTACAACAGTGTTCTCAGTGTCCAAGTGGCATTCAAAGGAGTCATGAGAAAAGAAATGCTGGCCCTGACACAACCATTGCTTTCCAGCCAGTCACATAAATTGGGAATGTAATATAACCTGTAGTCAACAATAAAATTAACCTGGATTCCAGACAGATGTGTGTATGTGCTGAGAAAGTAGCTCTGTTGTGGGTGCATTTTGCAAGCAGTGAATTATTAAGGAAATACAATGACTGAGCTGCAAAATGAAATTGGATTGTTGCCTCTCCAAATAGAAGACCTTCTTATTCTTAGTACCTCCAAAGAATGTGCAGCCACTCAGTGGGTAATTCAATAAAAAGTTTCCTTTCCAACCTGTTTCTCTTCCCCTTTCTCTGCTCTTTTTTATCAAGCTACGGGGTTGGGATTGGCTGGTTTTTTATACATTGCTTTCTACATAGCTACCTCCTATAGGCATACATAGATGTAAATGACCTTAAATGAAAAGAATGAGTGCCTATAGAAAGTACTAAAATGTGTCAGCAGGTTTGTTCATCTGATTAATTTTATACAATGTTCTATTTTGTAGCTTTAAATAAAATAACACAGAAAAAGGTTGTCAGTCCTGTAATTTAAATACTGTTGACCTTCTTTAAAATAAAAACAACAACAAAACACAAAAAAAACCACAAAACCAAAACCACAACAAACAAAAACCAATGACAAAACAACAACAAAAGCCCCAGTACCCCAACTTTTGGGGCTTAAAATCCCCTAAGGTTTCCATTTAGGAGCCTTTTGGACTGTTAGATACAGGGAATACCTGGTGGGGCAGGAAAGGTACCCTCAATGTGCTTCTGAGTGCAACTGAAAGCAGCTTTAAAAACCCTGAGAAAGCAAGAGGGGAACGAGGTTTTATGTTTCCTGAAAGGTTTTCTCTTTTGCCATCAGGGTCACTGCTATTACCACGGCCACGTGCGAGGGTTCCCCGGCTCCTCCGTCAGCCTCAGCACCTGCTCAGGACTCAGGTGAGTCACCATTTCACTCATAACTTGACCCTCTTTAAGGAATCAGCCCAGTACCCCTGGAATTTTGTTGTATTTTTTCATGGATGTCCCGAAATCTTCTTTTTCAAATGAAGGTAAGAATCTCTGTGAACATATTTTCCTGCTGGTTGCTCTGCAGAGAAAGAAGAAATAGGAAAGACCCTCTGGGGGGTTTCCATGATGACCCTTCTCCCTTGTTTACCCCCTTTTGCAGCAGTGCAGTTCTTGGCAAGGGGCAATGGTATTAAACTAGAGCAGGGCAGATTCAGATTACACCTTAGGAAGAAATTCTTTACACTGAGGGTGGTGGATCATGGGAACAGGTTGCCCAGAGGTGGTAGAAGCCCCATCCCTGGAGACATTCAAGGTCAGGCTTGACAAGGCTCTGAGCAATCTGGTCTAGTTAAAAATGTCCCTGTGCACTGCATGGGGGGGCTGGACTAGATGACCTTTAAAGGTCCCTTCCAGCCCCACACATTCTATGATTCCATGATTTTTGGGCTGGCAGTGCCTGGTGGTTCTCAAGCCCTTCATGTCTTCCAAGCTGTTTCACCAGTGATGGCAGGACTGCTTTGCAGCTGCAGGCTCATGCATTGTCCAGAATTCCCATCATTCCCTTTACAAACATGGCTATGGAGCTCAATAAATTCCTTTCATGGCAGGTATGATGCTCAGCATCAAGATTTTAGCAATTTGGTAACAAGAACAGCAGATTCATGTTGCTGAAACCCAAACCTCTTCCTAGGTTGAGAAAAGAACAGGCTGACAACACATTAAATACACAATGGACACAGTTCAGGAAACAATTATCTTCCTTACTTGGACAATCAGAGACCAGTATTTACTCACAGAGCTGTCCCAAATCACAGTAATTAGCTGTAAATTGGCTCTAGTGTTCTCCCTGGAAAACCCGGTTTTCCTGTCAGATTTCCAGCTTTCTCAACCTTCTCTGGGTTTGTTTAATTTATCTACAAACAGCAGGAGTAGCTGGAGCCTTTTTCCCTTGATTTTGCATTTTGTGCAATAGTGGTATTTTCAGGGCTTTTCATGACAGCAGCAGAGAGAGCAAACACTTGGTTACCAGGACACATTTGCTCTAGTGGATGGGATTCCTGTGGCTCATTCCCATATGGAAAGGGGTTTTATGGATGCTTCAGTGTGAATCTAGCATCTTCCACAAGTTTACTCTAATTAACCCCCTGCACAGACCATGGCAGGTTGCAAAAATACAGTGCAGGGCTGTAGGTATTTTGTCTAAGGGGATCCCATTGCTGTGAGGTCCACAGGGAAGATTTGCACTGTGAGGGATTCTACATCAGTATCTTGTCCCAGAGTTAAGGCATGTAAAACTCTCAAGTGAAATTACTCTTCTCCAAATTAAATATATTTAGTTTCTTCTCTAATGTGCTCTTCTTACCATGGAGCTCACTGAGTTGTTCCCCAGTTTTGAGGAGTCAGGGGTGCCCTGGCAGCACATGCTGGCAGTGATACTTCTCTCTCACTTGGCACTATCACATATAAATCCCCAAAGTACAAGATGACAGTGTGAGGCTCCTTCCCCTTACAGGAAAAGTGTAGCAGCATCTTTTTCAGCACAAGTTTTCATAAGTTTCCCTGCCAACATATTTTCCTCTCGCAGGAGAAGACCCAAGTCCATATCTCAGCATCCATGTCCATTTAGCTGCTGCACTTGCTATTGAGGTTGGTTAAGAGAGTATCTATCAGTGAGAACAGTTTGTGACAAGGGCACCTCTTGACTTACTCCACAAAACTCATTTCACAGGCTGACAGCCAATGGTAACAACCTCCAGTCGTTACTTGTGCTTGATCTGAGCCAGCAATGTCTGTTTGAAAGTTTTCATCATGCACTCTCAGCTCCTTTAACCACCCAGACCCTCTACTTAAAGCTGGTTAGGAGTAAAAAGTCAGGTGGTGTGAACCCCAGGTGGTTGCACTGAGGTCCTGAGAGCTCTGAGCATCTTCCAGAACCAGGCCCACAGGTCACTGTTCTACCCCTGCCACCACAGCATTATTGTGGCAATGCATTTCTTGGGAATTTGGCTGGAAAGACCTGGTTGAAGACATCCCTGCTCATTGCAGAAGGACTAGATGACCTTTAAAGTTCCCTTCCAAGCCAAACCATTCTGTGAGTCTCTGATTTACAATGTGTGATCCAGTCTGAAATCATATGAGTATAAATAGGACAGTTGAAAATTACTTCATGGCTTACTTTGCTGGCAACGTTACTGGTATTGCAGCTTGGAAGAATAGTTATGGATAGGATAGGATGGGATTAGGGTAGGATGAGAGTAGGATTAGGGTAGAGTAGGACAGTATACTTGCCCACCAACTTGCTGGAGTGGGGATTCTTGGTTCTCCACAGCACAGTAAAGCCTGCAGACTGCAGGGGTAGAGACATAAGGCATCGTGTGGCCGTGAAGCTGCAGGTGAGGACAGTCCCTGGGGCAGCTGTTTCATCTGCAGCAGCCAGTGGTAGGAAAGACAAGTCTCAGCTCCAGGGTCTGTTCCTGGCTTTGTGACAGTTTCTAAGTGAAATGGACAAATCTCTCTGTCTCAGATTCTCCATCTGTGCAATTCATTTAATGATTCTTTACCTACCTCACACAAAGCTGTTGCATGGGACCAAAGTTTAAGTGCCTGCAAACCATCTAATGGAAGAAGTGCAAGCTCTTAGCTCCCTGAAACCTCAGAGCACTAATCTCCTCCTCCTCCTACTAGACAGGCTCCTCAGGCACTGCTCCAGGTGTGGCCAGGCAGGGCCAGTGCCTTTTCCTCCAGATTAAGAGAGTTCATTAAAAGACAGGAAACTAGTCGTGAAGAATGGGTTCTGCATGATCTGAAGCCTCTGAGCTCAGCAGGAGTCAAAGCAGCAAAAGGATCCTAGGAATTAGTGAGACAGAAATAGAGGATAGAACAAACCCCCTCATTACCACTTTATAAATCCATTGTGCACTCGTATCTTGAATCCTACTTGCAGCCCTGGGTTTTCCCTGCCCATCCCCACCTCACAGAAGGAACCATTCTATCCAGAAAAGGTGCAGAGGAGGGCAACAGTTATGATCAAAGGTCTGGAACAGCTTTTATCCAACATGGGCTAGGATTTGTCACTTTTGAAAGGAGATGATGAAGAAAAGGGGTGTGATGAAATGAGGTTGGATGTCATGCTGGAGAGGGGGAAATTACTGAATATTTTTTGTAACTCCAAAATTAGGAGGCATAGAATGAAACTTTAGAGCAAAGGAAGGTCCTTTTTTGGTCACCACACAATGGACCTGTGGAGGTCACTGTCACAGGTGGGTGTCAGTGTGAAAAATATCAGTAGGTATCAAAAAGATGAGACAATTTGGGGAGGGGAGCTAGAGTAACCTCTCCAGGGCTGTCAAACCCAGAGGTGTCCCTGACACTTATGCTGTCAGAGCTGGAGGTACCAGCTGTGCTTGCATCTTACCCCTAAGTATCAGCTGTTGGCCAAGGCCAGAGACAAGGTGCTGAGCTGGAGCACCTTGCTCTGAGGTGTTACAGCCACCAAGTTTTTCCTTTCAGTGCAGCCACATGGTTGAGCATTTCAGATGTGCTGGTAGCTTGTAGATATGACCTGGCTGCTCCTTGAGGAGCCATAGGAAGCATCATGTGTGAAATCTCCTGATCCCCAGACTCTTTTCAGTGGTGTCCAGTGACTGAACAAGGGGCAGTGGTCACAAACTGGTAAACAGGAGGTTTAGCCTAAGTGTAAGAAAAGTCTTCTGTACTTTGAGGGTAACAAAGCACTGGGAGCCACTCAGGGAGGTTGTGGAATCTCCATCCCTGGAGACATTCCAAACCTGCCTGGACATGTTCCTGTGTGATCTGCTCTCGGGGATCGTGCTCTGGCAGTGGGATTGGACTAGATGATCTCCAGAGGTCCCTTCCAACCCCAACCATTAAGTGATTCTGTGATCTGCAAAGTAAGAGAGGTTTGACCACTTTACGTTTTCAGGCAGATGGAGGGAGTGAAATACAGGGAGAAGTGAGAAGTGGACTCATCTCTCTGACACACAGACACATATTCCAGCTATGCTATCCTCTCAGAGGTGACATCCAAGTGCCTTGCTTCACGTGGGATCACCATGGTAGAAATAGTTGGATTGGCACTGAGAGCTGCCTAACCTGCAGGTTAGAGGAGAATATAATCATGCCATAATCATGCATCCTGCTGGTTCCTCTGGAGGAGGAAGAGCTGAATGGCAGAGAGGGCATGGTAAAAGCTGAATGCACAGGATGGGAACAATAGTAATCAGGATTTCCAGAGCTTCCATCTGGCTCAGAAAGCCAATTAGACTGACAGAGCTTGTGGGAAGGTGAAGGTCTGACAAAGTCAAGTGGTTTCCTTCCTGTCCTTAGAAAATACCTTTCTGTTTATCTAGCTTGGAGGCTCTTCAAGTTTTTAGCAAATAGTTTTGGCCTGTAGCCACAACACACATCTATGATAAATTTGGATGGACTTGAATGATTTTTCCCCTATTACTCTCTCTACAAGAGCAGAATCTAGCAAATACCTGCAAAAAAAAAAATAAAAATGCAGCCTTGAAGAAGAGCACCATTTACATGGGCCAGGAGCTGGCAGGGGACATGAGGCTACAAAGTGACCTCTCTGGTGGGGGAAGCCTGAGAGCTGCTCTCAGAAACAGCAAGGACACAAATCTCCCAGGAAGCCTTTCCTTTTTAAAACACAAAACCACTCCTGAAATCCCATGAATCCCTCAGAGCTGTGCAATTGCTAGATAATAAGTCTCAAAGTATTCAGTCATTGTCCAACCTCATCAGCGACTGGGAGATGCTGTGTCCACAGTAAGAATGATGGGGACAAGGCCCCAGAACTGAATAGGCAGTTGTTTTTAATGGGATTACATGGTTGTGCTACACAGGACCATTTTTCAAATGGTCTGGCTAAACTCCCTGCACCCCAGACACAGCCAGCTGAA